AATTTGAAAGGTACGCAATAAATTAAATGCCAAAAGAACATACAATAATTAAGTCATGACACATAAAATATAAAAAGATGCAATAATTTACCCAGTTTAATATAATAAATGAACAATCATAAAACAAAGTAAAATGTTTGTGTTATTGAGATGACTCCGATTTATTTTTTATTTTTTAACACATCATGCTAAAGTTTTCAGACTTGGAGCAATTCACACTTTCCATAAAGGACTGATTATGGCAATGGCATGGTTAATTTGTATTGCAACCATTGATACTTGACTCTGAACTGTTGCTAATCATTCTTTTGTTTGTAATATTCTGACCATTGGTACTAGATACATTTCATCGTTGTTGCGGCGTGACACATAATCTACATCTCGCCTCCAGCAGCGCGGTGGTGTCGAAATGTTTAAATACAGTATACCTGTCACAGTGTACTGCTGAGTGGAGTGAGGAACAAGGAACGGAGGGAGACGTGGAGTACATCAACCCAAATGGGTTTAATATTGCCAAAACAACACGGGAACTCACGCTATACATGAACGATACCGGACGCTGAACTGAAACCAAGGAACACTATTTAAACACATGACAAGACAAGGGGATGACGAGACACACATGAGATCAATAGAAATGAACGGGGAACACTTGGAATCAAATCAACATAATCAGGACAGGAACCGGAAACTAACCAAATAAGGGCATAAACACTGAGACAGAGAGCACTTGGGGAACGAAACACAACACAAGCCTGACAATGCTGTCGCTCAGCCTTTTCGAACGTTTTTTTGCCCCACAAACGAAGAACGAAAATGAACTTAGTTTGAAGTAGCCTACATCGGGGCCTTAAGAGGGGATGGTTGCAACAGTCCAAAGGGGCAGTTTGCAACATTCATTAAAATGTAATTAAAATAATTTCTTAAATATCATTTTGCTATTTTCATTTTATTTGTGCACAGACAGGGTCTTCAATAAGTTAAATTGGCTGTGTAAAAAAATAAAAATAAAAATAAAGTAACAACAATGTTTTGGTTAATTATTACAGTACATCTGAACTACAAAACATTAATTAAATCAAGACACTGACATAGCCTACTTCTGTTAAAGTGACGTGATGTGACATGTGGCCAAGTATGGTGACCCATACTAGGAATTAGTGCTCTCATTTACCCATCCAAAGTGAACACACACACAGCAGTGAACACACACACACACACCGTGAACACACACCCGGAGCAGTGGGCAGCCATTTATGCTGCGGCGCCCGGGGAGCAGTTGGGGGTTCGGTGCCTTGCTCAAGGGCACCTCAGTCGTGGTATTGAAGGTGGGAGAGAGCACTGTACATTCACTCCCCCCACCTACAATCCCTGCCAGTACGAGACTCGAACCCTAACCTTTGGGTTACGAGTCCGACTCTCTAACCATTAGGCCACAACTTCCCCCGTTAGGCCAGAAGTTTACTGAACTGGGGTCAGTTGCATAAACATGTCTTTAGAACTAATTTGACTAACTAGCCGTTAACCAGGTAATCAGTCTTACTTTAAAAAAATTCAAATTAGAGAAATCTACCATTTATGTAACTGACTTAATAAGTTTGTGTAAGACAAAGAGAGGGTGAGAGTGAAGGAAATTAGTCCACCATAGACAAACTGATTTTTAACCTATGTACTTAAAAAAGGTGAGATACCTCACTATTGAAAGGGATTCTTTACCAGTTCATAAAATTACAATTGTGCAATGTTATGGCAAGCTTTTACATCAGTGTTGTGGTAAGGGAGAGCATGTCGGGTCGGTTGCAACTGTCCCAACACTGACAGCTGTGATACAACTTGGTGTATTAGCCTGACACAGTATCTTTGACACATGCTATGCCTATTAGAAGCTAAGAAAACACAGATTAAAATTATATGTTTTTACAGTGCTTCACGCAAACAACTTAAACAGTATGTCAAAAAAATCTGATCATTATAAAAATACTTTTTTAACATGATGAAATAGGAATTATTCAATTTCCCGGTCAAACTCCACATATTTGAAGACTAAACCAAAAAGGTAAATTAGAGATTTCTATTAATCTGCTTTTAGACTCCATGCAGAAGAGGCATCAACGGAGCGCAAAAATAAAGCAAAAATGGAGAAGAAAAGAAGAAGTGACCGGGCAAGAAAAGATGGACATGCTATTGATGGCGAAGGAGCTTCTTCAGATAATTCGTCAACATGAACGTATAAATAAACGGTTGATGAAAAGGGTTAAACAATTTATTGAAGTTAATGAGTTTAATTTGAAGATGGAAACTTTGCGAAGTGAGGTTGACTGTTTGAGGATTCAGAGAGCCAGCGCCACTTCTAAGAGTATAAACGGCTAAACTGACATCCTGTCAAAAAACGAGAGCAGGTGTCACTATCTGGGTTAACAGTTAAAAAATGGAAAATGTTAAGGTGTGAAAACCTGCTCGCATATTTTTGCAAAGGTGTTGCTGCATTGTAGAATAGATGCATAACTGTGGGTAGCATAGAAAGGTCAGACGTCCTTTGTTTGAACCTCTCCGCATATATTTTTTGAGATGTACGCATGTGTATATGGGGGAAGTCGTGGCCTAATGGTTAGAGAGTCGGACTCATAACCCAAAGGTTGTGGGTTCGAGTCTTGTACCGCCAGGAATTGTAGGTGGGGGGAGTGAATGTACAGCGCTCTCTTCCACCTTCAATACCACGACTGAGGTGCCCTTGAGCAAGGCGCCGAACCCCCAACTGCTCCCCGGGCGCCGCAGCATATATGGCTGCCCACTGCTCCGGGTGTGTGTGTTCACTGCTGTGTGTGTGCACTTTGGATGGGTAAATGCAGAGCACTAATTCTGAGTATGGGTCACCATACTTGGCCACATGTCACGTCACTTTTTTCACTTTACTTTCACTTTATATGCTGTGCTTACTGTGGTGATGTAATGGAATTGCAACTCACTGAAACAAGGGGTGTGACCAAGTGTTTCGTGTGTCTTGCACTTATCCAATGGAGTGTTTGAATAGATGCTTTGCAGGAGAGGAATTGTGTAACGCCCTCTCCTATATAATCAAGCGCTTTATGATTTTGCGAGGCCGGAAAGCGGGTGAAGACTATACGCTGTTACTTTCTTGAATTTTGCTTATGAGTTATTGTTTTTAATAAAGCGAAACCATTTGTATATGGTGATTCGATAAACTTTCTTTTAATCAAGACTCTGAGTAATTTATTAAGGGTAACACATTATCTGAATATCTGAATTAAATCTCCAGTGCGGACCTCATAGTGGTGAAAACCCTGCTGAGCTGGTCAGGACGTTTCGCCGTGGACCTTGGACCTCGCATTACACTTCCCATTAATGAGAGGTAAGGGCTGTATTTGCTTATGACAGCTACAGGTGACGGACAAAGTGTATATATGAGGTTTATTGGTTCATTAAGTACGGAATTTATACAAAAATGAAAATAATTTTTGGCAGAAGGAATGGTCACATGCGGCTGATTTCTTCCAGGAAGGATGAGGGGCTAACTAAGCATGTGTGCAGTATGAGTCATCACTGTAGCTCTTTCCTGATTGAAGAAATAAGCCATGTTGCAACCGTCCCAACTCACACTCTATATATGAAACGATGGCAGAACCTTTTATTGCTTTGCGCAATCAACACAGACCTTTGCACAGATACAGCTGACATGACTGTGATCAAGTCCAAACCCCGTCCTTACTTTTCCAGTAAATAGAATGTGAAACAATATTGTTTTTAACAGTTATCTCATGGCATCACTTTATCTGTTTTGTTTGTTGTGAGTGTTTACTATCATGATTCTAATCTAAAGATATTCTATGAATGGACAATTATTATTATTATTATTGAGTGTTTAGCCTAGGTGTGAAATTGAAAATGCTCTCAGTGTGTGAGGGGTTAACTCACTTCTGAAAGTTACTTGCTTATAGGCCATGTGAGAAATAAACACACACACACAAACACACACACACACACAAACACACACACACACCTGTGGGTAGCATAGAAAGGTCAGACGTCCTTTGTTTGAACCTCTCCGCATATATTTTTTGAGATGTACGCATGTGTATATGGGGGAAGTCGTGGCCTAATGGTTAGAGAGTCGGACTCATAACCCAAAGGTTGTGGGTTCGAGTCTTGTACCGCCAGGAATTGTAGGTGGGGGGAGTGAATGTACAGCGCTCTCTTCCACCTTCAATACCACGACTGAGGTGCCCTTGAGCAAGGCGCCGAACCCCCAACTGCTCCCCGGGCGCCGCAGCATAAATGGCTGCCCACTGCTCCGGGTGTGTGTGTTCACTGCTGTGTGTGTGCACTTTGGATGGGTAAATGCAGAGCACTAATTCTGAGTATGGGTCACCATACTTGGCCACATGTCACGTCACTTTTTTCACTTTACTTTCACTTTATATGCTGTGCTTACTGTGGTGATGTAATGGAATTGCAACTCACTGAAACAAGGGGTGTGACCAAGTGTTTCGTGTGTCTTGCACTTA